GGCGGGCGGCAGCGGGGCCAGGTCCCGGCTCCGGGGGGCGGCCAGGGGTGCCCCGAGGACCGGCCACTGCAGCGGGGCCTACGCGGGAGAGACCTGGCTGGTGGAGACGGAGGAGGTCTCTGTCTTGCCAGCGGATGTGTCCTCGTCACCCAGCGGGTTCTTGCCGCAGCAGAGGGTTGTGATCATGCAGTTACGGAACTGGAGGAGAGGAATGGACGGGGTGAGGCCAGGGATGCCAGGGTGGCTCCATCAGTGGGGATACCTCCCAGCCCGGCAGAGCAGCTTGGAAACACCCTGCCCGCTGCCCACCCTGCCTGCTGCTGGCCCAGACACAGCCCCAGCTCCTCAACCAACCCAGCACCTGGATCATTTATGGGATTTATGCAACGCCAAGGATGAGCTGCAGTCACCCTCCTGCATTGCTGGATCAGTATCATCACCTGGACAGAACCCCCCTCCCAGCCCACCAGTACTTTGAGGTGCTGTAACTCTCTGTTATAAAGTAAACACAAACACGGAGCTTTCCCGGCCTCTGGCCAGTTACCTGTTTGTTCATTACGATGTAAATCACGGGGTTGTAGATGGCAGAGCTCTTGGCAAAGAAAGCCGGGATGGTCATGAAGATGGGCCCGAAGTCTGACCCCTGGTTGGTGAAGATGTAGAAAGCGACGCTGGCGTAGGGGACCCAGCAGATCAGGAAGGCGATGACCATGATGATGACCATGCGGGTCACTTCTTTCTCTGCCTTCTGGGTGGTGGCGGACTCTTGCTGCTGGGCAGCAGCCTGCAGGCAGAGAGGGACAGAAGTGATGGAGGTGGGGAGGGCTGTGCCGGCACGGGCCACAGGGTCAGGGCTTGGGGGAGCTGAGCTGTGCAGCTGGAGTTTGCTGATTCCCCTTGCTGGAGGGTCAGCCTGTCACCTGGAGACTGGCGCGGGCCCCTTCCCAGCACGGGGTGGCCCCCAGCCCATTGCCACCGGCAGGTACCCACCTCCTTGACAGTGCAAACCAGGTTCCCGTAGCAGAAGAAAATGACCATCAGTGGGATCATGAAGTGAACCACAAACATGTAGATGACGAAAGATTCGTTGTTGATCTCTGGCTTCAGAGTATAATAGTCGATCCCGCACGAGCACTGCATGCCCTCGGGGATGTACCTGCAAGGGGAGCCAGGGTGGTCAGCGGCCAGCAGAGGACACCAGATGGAAGTCACAGCTTAGTCGCTGCCAGCTGTGCTCCCGTGGTCACAGGCCCTGGGCACAGCCCTCCCTACCTGGACCAGCCAAAGAGCGGGGGAGCCGCACATGCCAAGGCCATGATCCAGGAGAAGGCAACGCCCATGATGGCGTGGTTCTCCCCGAAGCGGAAGTTGCTCATGGGCTTGCAGACCACTACGTATCGCTCGACGGCCAGGACAACCAGTGACCAGAGAGCAATTTCACCTGCATCAGGGAGAGAGAGGGATGGGGACACAGAGACCTTGAGCAACAGGAGAAAAACGTGCTGACGCCAGCACGAGGCCTCCTCAGACTGCTGTTCCTGAGAAGGACCCCTGGCCGCAGGTAAGGCTCTGGCCAGGGTTTGGGAAGAGAACTGAACACAGGCTAATTGCATGATTAGGAAGGCATGAGAAGACAGCTCTCTGCACTGCTGACCCACAGGAACCACTTTGCTGCTGTGTTCTGAGATCCACACCGGGATCCTATTGCTCATCCCAAGCGGCACTGGCACCTGCAAGCCCACAGTCCTGCTCCGGGATACAGCAAGTGCCCCTCATCCCAGGATTTCTCCTTGCCACCCACAGCTTCCCTGGGAACTTGTGCCACCAGGATCCAACCAGTGAAACAGCTGCCTGTGGCTGAGCTGAGCACAACTTTTATTTAACATCTGTTTCGGTCAAAGCCTGGCAGGCACAGGGAGCAGAGCCTGTGCCACCACACACCATGTCAGAGCCAATGACAGCCCCACCACAGAACAGGAGGAACAAATTTGTCATCTCTCCAGTCAGAAAGCCAGCCAGAAAGATGTGCAAACCCAACAAC